GGGTTTTCTGCACTCTCCCAGAGGACTCCAAACCCGGGCTCATTTCGTTTTTTGCGAGTTGGCTGTCAAGGGGGGGGGAGGGGGGTATAAATTGGTTTTAAAGGGGCTAAAGGGGTCTAAAGGGGGGTGCCTTTGTGTGATTCTGTTATTTTTTTTTTTATCTCCGATTCGGTGAGGAATTATAATGTGACCCTCAGCCAAAAGTGGTTTGCATTTCAATCCTACACAACACTTTTTTTTGGGGGAATTTTTTGAGGTTTTTTTTTTTTTTTTTTTTTGGCGCTGGGGCTGCCCGGAACCCTGCCCGGGGGTCATGCCTGGCCGGGCACCCGGGCGTGTACCCGGGCAGAAGTTGAGTGACCGGGCGCCTGGGAAAACAGCCTAGGTTAAATTTTTAAAAATTAGGAAAAAAAAAAGGAAAGTGATTGAACTTCAAAGTTCAAATTTGAAAGACACTGGAATACACCAAGCGTCTTAAAGACTGAGAGCGTACTCACACTAGGACTTTTCCGACTGCTCCTTGGACATGATTGCGGTTAGATGCACCCTAGTTTGACCGAAATGCCGGTCAGATACATTTAAGAAAGGGCTCGTGTGAGTATCCCCTGACTGTGCATCATCCGTGATTCAGCTTCCCCCTCCCCTTCCTGAACTGTAGTATTTTACTCATCTGCTTCTTGTGGAGTTCAAACTCAGGTCTCTATCTCAACAGTTTGGGGATGTACCAACTGAATATTGGTCAGTTGGTATATGGTTACATCCTCTCAACAAGTGTATTTTACTATTTTGTTTATTTAACCACCAGTAGGCAAGCAAGGTCCGCCGTTTAACACACGGCCAGCGGGTGCGCTTTGGATATATGGGCCTGCCTGTGCCCGACCAAATCCATTCATGATGCCAGCAGGCTGCCAGTATACGTATTTCATAGGTTTCAATTGAGGTGAGAAAACTGTCAAAGGTCTGCTGAAGGGTGCTTCACACTCGTGAATCAAACCACCAGTGCAGCGGGCCCTCTACGAAGAACACGGTCATATACAAACAGGCCAAGCTTCATATTTTCCGGTCTGGCAGCTACACGTTCGATTCGTTCTGCAGCCGAAAATTCCAGTTCGACAAAACAGAGTCCCTGATACTGGCGGTTTAAACCACCAGTGCATGGTCCAAGGCAACTGGAGAATGTGTTTTGAACCTCTCCGAAAATTTAGGAGGCCGAGCGCCCTAGATAAAATGAATCGGCGGCGGGCAGCCTCTGAAAGGGGCCCGCGGCCAAAAGCTGGCATGTACTGGTGCTTGGTTCTCATTAACTTTGTCATCTTGATATCTATCTATAGATTCTATAGTATCTATACTAATCTGAAGTAAGTTGAGTTGGAGAGCCGCATGATAGGTGGTTCAGATAGGAGTCAGAGGACTAAAGCAATCACCTGGTTATTGGGTGCAGGAAGACCTGCAAATGTCATCATCCGTTCCCTGCCCATATCCCACGTCCACCTGCCTCTGGAAAAAGGGTTGACGGGAGAGAAAGAAGACCGGCCTGGGCCCTGATGCTACGTATATGACTGATGTTTGAGGACTGTTTGGGGATGGTTTGGGAATGGCTTGGGGATGGTTTGGGGATGGTTCGGGGATGGTTTGGGGATGGATTTTCACAGGTGAGTGTGCGCTGGAGAATTTGCGAACATTGTGCGTGTTGTGCCATGCTGAGGTAACAGGAGCGCAGGCTCGGCGTCGAATAACTGAGAAAAACGAAATTGGACGGAGGTTTCGAAATCAGGTTGACGAATGCCGAAAGCTACAGAAGTGCTCAACAAAGAAACAAAAATTGCACAAAGAGGGGGTTGAGGTAAATGATTCTCAATTTCTCAGCATCCTATTACCTTTTGTACCATGGGCGTTTAAACCACTGCATACTGAATCGCCCAAATCGCCCCCTAAGTATGAAAGGCCGAAGGCACAAGAGCGCTCTTTTGTTTGATCGAGAGCATTCTCGCGTAAAGTCTCTGAGGATCCCAAACAGCTTGGCGGTCGCTGGCTGGGGCGAGCAGCCGTACTTCGTTTTCCTGCTGATAACCGACATGTCCCAATGTATGGGGATCATTCGCTTTGAAATCTAAGCGAAGAAGGACCTCGTACTTCTTACCTTCCGAGGTGTTCCAGCACATAGTGAGATTACAAGGCTCATATAATCGAACCTCAGGGTGCTTTTTGGACTTTATCTTCAGCTCTTGTGATTCAGAAGTGTTTGAGAGATGGACTTTCTTCTTTCTCTCTCCAGATGTAATGGAGTCTAGAGCACTTCAAAATAAAACTGCAATGCCGTCCACTCCGGCCTCCCAAACATAATGGAGCGGTGGGTGAGTACAATCTGAATGGGGAGTGGCAGTCCGGTTCCTATTCCACCGGCAAGTCTGGGGAGAACCGGACTGTCCCTATTGACTTGCCGGTGGAATAGGAACCGGACTGCCGCTCCCCAGAGTGGACATGGAGCCAGAACCGTAAGGTTCTGCTTTGTGGAAAAGAAAAAAGGGGTGAATAGCTCTTGTCCTTTGGGACATCCGCTAAAATTAGAACAATACAGAGAAGATTGACATGGCTTCTGTCCAAGGATGAGACACATTTACATGCACACACACACACACACACACACACACACACACACACACACACAGAAGGGGGGGGGGGGGGGTGGGGGGGAGAAAAACATGAAAGAAAGGTGCCTCTCGTGGCCTTCCTCTCGTTGCCGACCTGTGCCCCACCCTTAATCCACTCAGTAGATGTGAATGGCCACGAGACTCTGAACCACCCTTAATCCGGAACGCAGTCCTTTTCAGCTCTCCCACTCAAATCCCCTCACTAATAGTGAGTGTCCAGGTCCGACCGGAGGCGTGTTCGACTCACATGTGAACAAGTGAGCTATGTCTTTGTGTCTTCCTGCTCAATCTTTGCCGGTAAAGCCAGGTGGATGTGCAGGTGTGGTGGAACATCAGGGTGATCACCGAACGGCTTGGGGGGAAGCTTCTTGCAGCTGTTCTGCTCCACACTGAACCCTTAGATGAGACCTAAATAAAGTTCCCTGACGAAATGGACAGGGCAATCGGATCTCATAGGATTGCTGCTGCGTATGAACATGTGCCTTTGTCATCAGATTCTTATCTTGGGCTTCCAGAAACCAGAATCGGGTCATCAATTCTATTCTGAAAAGCGACTGGTCCAGGAAGATGTGTCTCAACCTGACTAGGGATGAGGTCATCAGCAGGCGAGTGAGCTGGCAATCCATGCTCAAGCTGGAATAGGGACATGCCGATCAAAGGATGGACGAATGCAGAACATGCAAATGTAACTGGGTGTCTGCCGGATGACATGGTCAACTTCGACCCATTTACTTTCATCAACTGTTGCCAGTGCTCGCCCGTGAATCTATTTTCTCTATCGCTAGCAATCGTCAATGGGTGCCCGTAATCCTTGACCAAATGATTGAAGAATTCTCTAATTACTAAATTTGTCTTCGCCTCGGCGGGCAGCGGAATACAAACAGCAAATTTACTGAATCTATCTACTATGACCATCACTTGACTTCTTTCGTTTCTACTTCTAACCTTCATGTCCGTAAAGTCAATAGACACGGAGTCACCGGGTCCGGACGGGACAGATAGTGGCCTCAACAGGCCAAATGGGCTTGTGTGGAACTTTTGTTCTGCTGACACACTTGACTGCCCTGGATATAGGCAATGCAATCGTGCTTCATGGCGACCCAGGTATAGGACCGTAGGAGATTAACGTAAGTCTTTCTCCAATCGAAATGGCCCTCGGTGTCGTGGCATTCCCCCGAGATCAAGCTTTTGAGAGTCTCGCAATTCGGAGTCTGTCAAACATGTGAGACCCTACGCTGGTTGAAAACCCAAGCCCCGATGACCCCTAAGTTGACTAGGTGGGCTGGGGAGATAGATCACTTTGACTTCGAATTGAAACCAGTCAAGGGCAAATACAACGTCGTCGCTGATGCGTTCAGTAGACGTGCAGATTTCTTTGGTGCAATTGTGACTTATCTAGATCCAAGCAATGAACTGTAGCAGCAGATCAAGGCTGCGTATGCCGACGACCCTGTTTACAGGGAAATGATTAGGAGGGTGCAAACGACACCTCACAAATCGACTTTAAGTGCCTTCCTAGGAGATAGTGTCACTAGTGGTTTAATGCTTCCCTTAAGGCGAACACAGCGCACGCTCATACCTCGACCCATCGACCTTCTCACTAGGCAACCTACAAGACATGAACTCGATTGGCCTATAGCCCTCTCCGTCGTTCTGTTGGAGTACAACGTCAATTCCGTATTGGCTCGCGTCAGTTGTGACAATGAATGGGAGTGATGGATGTGCAACTTTCAGGACCTGGTACTCAATCTGCGACTTTTTCAATTTCTTGAAGGCTGAGGTACAATCTTTGTCCAAATTCCAAACTGTTTCTTTCCTCAGCAGTTTGCATAATGGTGCAGCTATCGTGGTGAAGTTCCGTAAAAACTTTTGATAGTAATTGGCTAAGCCTAGGAACGACCACAGTTCGGTCAAGGTGTGCGGTGGCCAATCCTTGATTGCTGCTAATTTTATGTCTTCCCGTCTGACTCCATCTCCATCTAACACGTGGCCTTAGTACAACACTTGACGCTTTGCCCATTCACACTTTTTCGGGTTCAGCTTGAATTTCGCGGTGCGCAGCTTGCCTAAAATTAAACGCAGATGCTGCTGGTGCTCTTCTAGCATCTTGCCAAAAATCAAGATATCATCTCAGTAAACGACTATAAACTTGTCTGCAATTCACGAAAGAGATCATTCATGCATCTTTGGACGGTAGCAGGGGCATCGTCAGACCAAACGGCATAACGACAAACTCATAGTGGCCGTAACGGGTTCTAAAAGTCGTCTTGTGCTGGTCTTTGGGCTGTACCTCTATCTGATGGTAACCCGATTTCAAGTCAATCTTGGAAAAGTACTTGCATCCCTGCACCCTGTCCAGTAGATCATCTATCTTGGGCAATGGCTCGGCGTTCTTCACCGTAATCGCGTTTAAACCCTTGCAGTCAATGCACATGCGCAGTTCGCGTTCCTTCTTAGGCACAAATAGGACCGTTACACCATACGGCGAGGAGCGAGGCTTAATCCACCCCTTCTCTATCAGTTCATCAAGCTGCTTGCGCAGCTCGTCGAGTTCCTTGGAAGTCTTGCTACCGGGCTCTATCTCTATCTGGTGCTTGATTTCTCTCTCCACAACTCCCGTCGGGGTCTCTCCCACGTTAGCGAATTCTTTCAACAACTTCTCGACTGCGGGCAGCGTCTTCTCCTCTTCCTTTTTGCTCTCACTCACCGGCCGAACATATGCTACAAGACCTGGTTAACCAAATCGGCTTTGACCACGTGCCTGGCAAATGAAGGGGCACTCATGCAGCAAAGGGACAGACTGGACTTTACTCCGGACTCGTGAACGAGCCACATTTTCTTCTTGCCACCTTCAGGGCTGGGCAGCCAGCACTCGTGCTCGCCCATCTTCGCATCCGCCATTGCTGCCTCTCCCCAATCCATCCCTAGAATCAAGGCTGTCCTCCACTAAGAGGGTTAGGGAGTGCAAAACTTTCTCTACGTTGTTGCCCCCCTCCTATTGGAAGTATGCCTTTACCCCTTCGACGTACTCTTCTACTCTCATTTCGCGATTGTCTGCCATCCTGCTCACGGCCGACTCTTTCAACTTCAACACCTTCATGTCGAGGTGCATCTTCTACAATCCCCTTCGGCTAATGTAACTACGCGTTGACCCATTATCAACTAACGCGCCTACTCATTGTACTAATCTCTATATCTCCTATAATAAGTTGCCCTTCACTCTTCTTCTTCATTTCAGCCCAAGCTTGGCGACGAGTGATCAGCTCATCACCGATGCCTGCGAGGGAACCACCCAAAGAGACCCTAGCACAAGCTGTCTCTGGACAACTAATTGGGTGGGGGCCTACATCTGTCTCTGCCATGAGGGCCTTCAAATAGGAGGGTGCCTATTCAGCGTGCGCTTCTATATGCTTGGCTGTGTTTGAAGGCCCAGCAGGAGCAACTGCGACTCCTATTGGCTGCTCCCTTTTGGGTGGCGGTATTCAGTGCAAAAACAGATTGTAGTTAGGATCACTACATTTCAGGCATTGGTTGGCGTTAAGCCTTTGTTTCGACACGGTTTTCTCGATGCCCATCTCTTTCCAAGGCTCGCCTTCAGCAATCCCTGGATGAGTTGGTCATGGTCTGCGCCCTCTACCTCTTCCTCTTGTGGAGGGAGAATCGCGTCCACCTTCCGGGGAACCGTTACCCCTACCTCCCACCTAATAGCTACCTTCGCTACTATTCCCCTGGGTGTCGCGTCCTCTGCCTCCACCTCTTCCTGGGCCTCCTCTTCCTCCTTGTCGCCCTCCCCCGTGGGCTGCAGCAACGGGATAGCCCCCTTGTTGGGCTACTTGGTTGCTGCTAGGCTCTTCCAGTCCGTAATCCATGTTTTTGTAGGGTAGTGCTTCGACTCCCCCCCCCTCGAACGTGACTAGAAGATTGTCCTTCCCTTCTATGCTGCCTGCTAAGTTTTATTCTTCCATCGACTTCCTTTTTCCAGGTCCTCCTAATAATGACAGTAATTGGCTTCCATCAAGAAACCAGCCTGATCTACGACGATCTTACTAAATTTCTCGTAACTCATGCCGCCCTCTTTCGCACGGGGGTACAGGGTGGTCCTCAGGGGATCAGGCATCGCCCTCGCAAAGTTATTCAAAATCTGAGTGGGGGTTAGACCATGCTCGGGACATTGCAATAACCCGTCCATGGT